AATTCTTAATTTTAGATATTGTATTTTGTGTTCTAGAATATCAGAGATTTTAATAAGATGTAATTTCTGTGTTGAAATTCTCTGTCCATTTATGCATCTCTTCCCTTGATTTTCTTGAACATATTATATCTAGTTAGTTTAGGGTCAATGTCTGATAACTCCACTGGTTGAATCTACCTGTGGATCTCCTCCCCAATATCTTTTTTCCTCTTGATTCTAGACACACTTTCCTTTCTTCTATGCATGCCTTGTCCTTTTTAACCATGTCAGACATTGTGTAAAAACTGAAGTGTTTGGATGCATTAAATTTCTAACCTGTCATGCCAGTGGTGTTTGACTACTCCATCGTAAAGTCTTTCTGCAAGGGTCAAACACAATACTGAGTCCACATCCAAAGTTGGCAAATGTCCCCAGGGAAGAAAATGGCTTGTGATCATCAGCCCACCTTGGAAGGACTCTCCATGCTAGAAATTTTAATCTAGTCCTCATTGTTTCTGAAGCTCTCTGATGTCTTTACAATATTCCTAAAAAAATTTTTTCTAGATTTTTTGTAGTCGTTGCAGTGGGAGTCTGGAGCTGCTGCAACCTACTATTTTCTAGCTGGAGGTAGAAATGCTTTTTGTTGTTGTTGTTGTTGTTTTGTTTTGTTTTAGGATTTAACTAGAGCTTTATGATGGTGACTCCCAAATCTCCAGTTGTAAACTTTCAACCATGCACAGTCATACCTACCAGCTACCTACTGTATAGTTCCCCTTTCCCATAAAAGCATCCAAAACAAATGTCTTTAACTCTTTCAATTGCATTAGTCTGATATATCATAGCCATTTTTGATTAATCCTTTGCTTCCATTCCCCACTTCAGTCCTGATGAATTTTTTTAAAAAATCTGTCAGGAAAATAAAAAGGACACCTTTTCTTTTTTTTTTTTTTAAAAGAAGGGGCTTACTTTAACTTACAATATAGTTCAATATCTTCAATTTACAAATGACAGAATTGATGTACAAATAAGTGAAGTGTTTGGCACAAGATAACAGTTTCTGTTAGAGTTTAACCAAGAACTCAGGTCTACCTCATTGCTCTTTCCACACTGCACCATATTGCCCCTCTCTGAATAAGGCAATTACACATCTTTTTTCTTATCAAAATGATGCCCTATCTGACTTTCAAGCTCTCCACAATTGTCTTACTCATATTATCTTGCCTCTCCAACTTTATTTAACAGAAGTCTGGATCTTTTTTTATCTTGAGCCAGCCCATGATCAAGCCAACTCAGTTTTGGATGTCAACAACAAAATTGCTAAAAGTAGTCCTACCTGACCTTGTCTTCCCACCTTTTTTTTTTTTTTTTTTTTTAGTAGAGCTCTTGGCTCTGTTGTTAGTAAATTTCCCAAAATTGCTTGAATATCATGCTAGTACCACCTCTTGGAAGTTATGAGTTCTACATTTATTATTTAACAAGTGAACCTCTTTTGATTTATCTTAACTTAGTCATGCTTGTATTTCAATGATTTCCCCTACATTCACATCATGGTCCACAAACCCAAGGCTACCATTTACAGACTGCCATGTTAACCATGCTTCCTAAAGCTCTATCGCATGTCCCCTGATTTGGGAATCTGGTATACAAATCTGGGGTCACCTTAACCTTGTCTTTCATAAGTGTATACAAGTCTTCATTTTTCAGAGTAAAGTGTAAGAATACTCCCACATCATTTTCATCCATTTACTTAGCCTCTCTACTTCTGATTTCATTGCAGCTTTTCCATGATCTAAGGACTCAATGAATAAAAGGGCTCTGAAGGGTGACTGTACCTTAGTTTCCAATACAAGATCAAGGCTATGCTTCTGTCCTATTTCTATTATCATTCCTGATGATGTTCAACATTGACTTGTCTTTTCCAATAGATCCCATAGGGTGGATTAAGCTGTACTTAAGAAGCACTCTTGACTATAAGGTAGGAGACCAGGATTCTAGTTCTGGGACTATCTCTTACTCATTATGTGATCATGGGCAATTTAATCTAACAAAACTTATGTGTCAGGAGTAGTGCTGAATACTGGGATATAGAAATACATGAGTCACACGCCCTGCCCTCAGACAGTTCCCAGGCTACTGGAAGAGACTGACAGAAGAAAAATCAGTGATTAAAACAGAATTTAATAATATCTATCAACAAGTCTGTATAGATATAGGTGAACGGAATCTCCTAGGTAAGGAATCTAACTTAGCTGAAGGTAAGAGGAGATCAGAAAATACTTCCCAAAGAGTTATGATATTTGAACAGAGATTTGAGGAAGGCTGGTTTGTTCATTGCTATATTCTCAGCCCCCAGAGCAGTACCAGGTACACAGCAGGTACTTAATAAGCATCTGTTTACTGATGAGAGCAAGGAGGGAATTCTTGGTGGCTAAGACTACTTAGACAAAGGTGTGGAGGTGTCAGAGAACATGGTGAATTCGGGGAACTATGATTAGTTATGGATGGCTAAAGTGGACAAAAGGAGAGTATTTGGGCCTAAGGCTAAAAACACAGCCCAAGTTCAGAATATAAAAGGCCTGGCATGCCAAGGTAAGGCTTTTGAACTTTATATAAGTGCAATAGGAGCCACCAGAAAATTTAAGCACTGTAGTCATAAAATCAGATTTTGATTTTACCTTGATGCTCCAGTTATCAGTTTAGTGCCTCTTCTCCAAATTCACCCTGCATTGCCTCCTCAGCAAAACAGAACAAGACCCTTAAAATATTTCTCATTTTGTTAGTGGGCATAATGTTCAGCTTCCTCAGGAGAGGGCGCTAGAAGGATGCCAGAAGAGGAAGGGGTTTGTCTGTGGGTTCACAGATGTACTCCTTTCGTTAGGCCCGGGAACATGCAATTCCTCCAGTGCTAGGTTCCTGCAGTGCACAGTTTCTCCAGCATCTGCAGTATGTGATCTCTTTCAGTGCCTGACTGCTGTACAGTCACCAGCAGTTCCCAGCTTCCTCAGCACCTCTCTTGGGAAGCTTTGTAGCAGAGTGAAGCAGAGTGAAGCCAGTCCCCTTTTCATGAATGGCTTGTCCGGCACCCCAGAGAGATTTTTGCCTCCTCGGAATCTCAGCAATTTCTCTGCCACCCAATGAGATGTGATCATACCCTCTGCAACAAGCTCTTAGAAGGTTGTCTCTTTTTGGGGTGATCTGTCTCAAGGGTTGTGGTTGCTCCTTGTATCTATACAAGCTCTTTATGTCTTACTAACCAATCTTCTACTACTCCAATCCCATTATAGTTAAAATTCTTTATATTGAACTTTCTTTGTTAAATTTGTTATATGATTTCTTTCTCTTTGTTGGACTCTAAAATAGGCATTGACTGACAGGAAAAGGAGTGTACTGAAACTTCAGGCAGGGATTCTGGTTAGGAGAATACGGAAGTACTTTTGGTAACAACTCTCAAGCACTATTGCCTTGAAAAGCAGTTGCAATGGGGAGGGATAGGAGAGACAGGAGCTATAGGACTTGGTAGCTGCTGGAGAAGAAAGAAGAGGAGAGAGAAGAGTTTAGGGTGACTCCCCACTTTTTAAGTTTGGGTGACTGGGTGGATGGTGGCACCACAGTAGAAATGGAGAGTACTGAAGAAGGGGCAGGTCAAATTCTCCTTCCCTGTTCCCATATACTGTCAGGAGGTCTATGTCCTTTTGAACCATAGAGACTTAAAATTATAGGCTCCTTAGGTTGGAGAACCCCTAAAGCCCAACTTTTATGCCTTTGAGTAATATGAACCATTTGTTCATTTCAGATAAAAGAAGTGGGGAAAAGTCCATTTTAGCTTAGCATTTCATGAAAATGATGTTTTTTGTAAAGTTCTTTTCCATTCTTAAAGCTTTCAGATGGTAGGCCCTCCTCAATCGTCCGTTCTAGCCCCCTCATCTCCTGCTCTTAAATTCAACTGATTTCCTCTTTTTTAAAACTCATTCCCAATCAGAATCATGGACAACACTTACATGCTGAGTGTTAAAGGATATAGGTCTTATCACATATGGAATATAGATTCGTTTCTGGAATCTTTCATTTGGTTTTATTGGTGTGAGCTAAACAGGGCTTCAGTTATACAAATGAGGGGCTCCAATTACATGAATCAAAGGCTCCAGATGCCGGAATCCCAGAGGTAGTGTCTATGAGCAGCTCTTGGAACCTAAGACCAAGCAACTGCATGGACTTGCTTGGGTTTGGAATAGGAGGTGGTGGGTTTTGGACACATGGATACCATTGCTTGGAACACACTCACCACCTTTTCACAGGTTTTTCAGATTTCAGCTCAGCTTTCCCTGAGCTCTCCGTTAGTTTCATTATATCTTCTCAGAGCACCACTTACCCAACTCTCCTCACCAGCATTTAGCTCTAATTTTAAACTACATGCATGATTCTTTGATTAATACCTGCCTCTCCCAATGGACTGTAAACTTCAGGGCAGGAACGCTCAGTTTCTGTTCACTATAGAATTCCCAGTGCTTAGCCTGGTGCCTGGAATATAGTCAGTGCTCAAAAAAATGTTAGGAAAATAAATCACAGGAAAATGAATCAATGATAGCTGTTTATAAAGTGCTAGTCATGCTCATTAGTCCTCATGACAACCCCAGTCCCCTCCCCATCGCCCCCCTCCCCCGCCCGCCCCAGGTATTCTTATATCCACTTTACAGAAGAAAAAGAGGAGGTTTGGCCAGTCAGCGAGGTCAGGGGCTCTGATCCCAGATTCTGTTATGTTTCCAAATCATTGTTCTCTGTGTAAGAAATCACAAATAGTAGTTCTTGGTGCAAGAATGCAGATACGGTAAGGGCAGGGAGCCAAAATCACCCATGGTCATATTCTCTTAAAGACCATAACCCTCTCCTCTTGTTCTGCCGAGAAGGATTCAGAATCCAGAATCCAGGTGGGCTCATGAGCAGGATTCTTTCCTTAGACCCACGCAGCCCCCGGGGGAGCTCGCCGCTGTCCCCTCCCTCCATTTCCCTTTCGGGGTTGCTACCTGAGGTTCGCTCCCAAATAAGCTGTCTGACACCAGCTGACACCTGGTGCCTGGCCTCAGGTGGGAAGTACGGTGAGAGATTCGGTGCCTGGCACCCTTGGCAGAGGGAAAGCAGTAGAACTTGGGCAAGGGCGGGTACCGGCCTTGGCTCGGAGCGACAGAAGAGGTGGAGCGAGACCCGGCTTTGTTAGAGGTTAGCTTTCGCCTAGCAACCATGACGCCAGCTGTGCTGCCTGGCAACCGCGGCGGAGGGGCGGGGGCGAACGTCACAGAGCATTCCTCCCGCCCCGCCCACCCTGCCCCGCCCATCCGTCTTACTCCGCCACGCCCCCTGGGCCGCAACCTCCTGCAGGGTCTGCCTCCGCAAAGCCGCGCCAGGGCGTCCTTAGGAGAGACTGGGAACAGCTGAGAGTGCTTGCTTGTGGTTGGAGGACCAGATAGATTGGCCGTTTAAGGATGGGGCTGGGGGCATTAGGAAACCTGTGGGGATGTGTGGCAATTTACAGTGGACTTTTGTACATTACAGAGCGGAAGTGGAAGAGCTTAAAATGACCTTTTGGTTTGTGGAAGGTGGGCAGGTGAGAAGTCCTTAGGAATAAGAATAGCAAGCATTTTTTGCAGTACGGGCTCTGTGTGTGTATATGCACGCCAGAATGATTCTTAAGTATATGACGCCTATTAACTCGTTTAATCCTTACGAACACCCCTAAGGCAAGAACTATTATTATCTTCATTGACAGACAAGGAAACAGCAGAGTGGTAAAGTAACTTGCCCGAGATCACAGCAAATGATAGAGTTAGTATTTGAACCCACATTTGGTGGTTCTAGATTCCTCACTCTCGTTATCTATAATGCTAAGAAAGAGAATAGAATTACTGTGGTTAGGAATAGAACTCCAGATGCCTGAAGCAACAGAGAAAGAAGAAAAATATTCACCATGCACAATGGCATCAAAGTGTCCCAGTAATTCTGGAGGTAGATATTTACCTTCGTTTTAGAAATAAGAAACAGGCTCAAAACTTTGAGTAACTTGCCTATGGACGAACAGATGGCAGTAGGGCCAAATAGGACTCTAGGTCTAATGATTTTAAGATTTTGCTTTTATAAGCTCTCAAGGATGTCCCCATCCCTCTCTGGTACATTCTTTGTCACTTTACACCTTTAAAAAAAAATCCTCTCCTGAGGATTTGTTTATTGATTTTATACAGGGAAGGTGCAGAGAGAAGGAAACATCTATGCGAGAGAGAAACATCTATTGGTTGCCTCTCGAAAATGCACTTATTGGGGATCCAACCCACAACCTAGGTATATGTGCCCTGACCTGGGGCTTAAACCTGCAACCTTTTTGGTGTACAGGATGACGCTCCAACCAAATGAGCCACCCAGCTAGGTGTTTTTAAGGTGCCCATTGTACCATCCAATCCTTCAATCCATTTATACAGTATTGTGCACTTGTCTAAATCAATGAGTTCATCCAGGGCCATCAAAGGTTTCTCTAGTTGTGAGATGAAAGCCGTTGTCTCTCCCTAAAGCAATTTCAAGCATCAGTGAACAAGGGTGGGGGGAAGCTGGGTTTTTGGTTTATGTATGCAGAGGGCTTTTCAGAGCCTACCGTCATCCATTTGTAAAGGGCACAGTCAGTTGGCATTTGTCAGACTCTTGCAGGTCATTGCACACCTGGAGAATTCTATATGATCTGGGTATGGCCACTAGCCCACAGGTGATTCTAGGGTGAAAGAAATCTAATCAGGTGCCTTCCAGAGCCTTTCTGGTGTGGTCTCCAAACATTGGTGTAGGCACCTGTTTGGCAGGGTGTGCCACAGGACTGGAGGGGGAGACTAGAGGTTTGAGGGCTGCAGGTGTATCTTCCAGGAGAAAAAGGCCACTGGGGACTGTTCTGTTTGTGCAAGAGGGAAGAAGGTGTGCTGGTCTCTTCCTGCTTCCCTACAAAGTGAAACAGACAGGAATGGATAATAATGATCTTCATGTAAAAGAAGGTATTTCCAGCGAATAAGTGGCCAGTTGGAGGTGGAAGATGAAAAACAGACTTTTAGTGTGGCAGGTTAAATGTAAAAGGGGAATTTCGTGATACTCTCTGACCGAAGGTCTGATCTACCTGCAGGAGGCCAGGTTGAGAAGCAGAAGTGAAGTTATCCCTAATCTATCAGTTAATAAATGCAACAGAATATACTGAAGGGGATGACATTACAAAGAAATGATAATCACAAAATTCTGAGAGGCAGGAGGGTAGAAGGAGGAGGAGCACAGAGACAGATATGATTGGCAGTGGTCTTGCTCTTGATGTGGATGGTGGTTGTGTGGGTGTCCATTATATTTCAGAGCTTACACACACTCTTTTACATGTTTTAGATATTACATAAATTTTTTTGTAGATGGATGGATGGTTGTGTGGGTGTCCATTATATTTCAGAGCTTACACACACTCTTTTACATGTTTTAGATATTACATACATTTTTTAAGTAAGCCCATCAAAATAGGGCACTCTATTTCTACTTTCTTGTGTAACTGAAAATTGACTGTATATGTTTTGTTTAATTTTTCTCTCATTCCCATCAATATACAAACACACTATAATTTCTCCACTACATTCCTCTCCAGATTTGCCCCATTTCTGGTACTTCTCATTTCTCATTTTCTGGTTGCTGTGTACTGAATGTTTTTGTGGCCCCCAACCCCTACCGCTTTCACACGTTGGGGCTGCAATCCCCAATGTGCTGGTATTTGGAGGTAGGACTTTTGGGAGGTGTAAGTTTGGATGAGGTCAAACGGATAGACAGTCTATCAGGGGTGTGAAACTCATTTTCACTGGGGGCCGCATCAGCCTCGAGGTTGCCTCCAAAGGGACGAGTGTAATTTAGGACTGTATAAATGTAACTACTCCTTAATAGTTAAGGGAGAGCTTCGTGCTTCCACCAAGTAGAAATAAGGTGCCAGGCCGGACAAAACAAGGTGGAGGGTCGGATTCAGCTGGTGGGCCTTGTGTTTGCCACCTGAGGGTTAGTCTTAATAATGGGATTAGTGTCCTTAAAGGAAGTGGGAGAGACTAGAATTTTCTCTCTATGATGTGTGAGGATACATTGAGAGGTGGCAGTCTACAAACCTTAATGTAGGCCCCCACAAGGACTCAATCTGCCAGCACATTGATCTTGGGCTTCCCAGCCTCTGAAACTGAAAAAATAAATTTGTTGTTTAGCTACCCAGTCTAAGGTATATTGCTATAGCTGCCAAAACTAAGACACTGGTTCTTCCTCTCTCCCTGATGCCTTAATGTTGGAGTGTCCGGGATTTATCCCTGGACTTCTCTGTCCATACTTGCTTCCTCACCCCTTTTTTTTTTTAATTTTTTTATGTTTGCCCAAGGGCATTTTTTTCATTTGCCTTTGTGTGTGTGTGTGTGTGTGTGTGTGTGTGTGTGAGAGAGAGAGAGAGAGAGAGAGAGAGAGAGAGAGAGAGAGAGAGAAACATCCATGTGGAAGAGAAGCATCAGTTGGTTGGCTCTACACTCACCCAGACTGAGGACCCGCACTGGACCAGGGATGGAACCTGCAACCTAGGTATGTGCCCCAACCAGATGATGCTCCAACCAACTGAGCCACACCAGCCAGGGCTCCCCTAACCCCCTTTTAATCTCATCTAGTCTCATGTTTTAGATAACTATATTTATATTTCTAATTTCAATTTTTCTCTGAACTCCACACTAGAATATCCAACTCTCTACTTGATAGTGCCACATGGTGTCCAAGAGGCCTCTTAAACTTCACATGTCTCAAACTGCACTCCTGGCATTCCTTTTCAAACCAACACCTCTAGCCTTCCCTGTATAAGCAAATAGCAATCCCATCCTTGCAGTTGCTCACACTAAATCTTTGGCATTATCCCCAGCTGGTTTTACTCTTGTACCTTAAATAAATCAGAGAAAAAGCTGTTGGCTCTGTTTTCAATAGATATCCAGAACCTGAGCACTTCTCTCTACCTCCACCACCATCTAGCAAACTAGATGTCACCCTGTCTAGCAAACTTTATCCCTCACCTGGACCACTGCAATGGCTTCCTGTCTCATCTCCTTGTTTCTACCCTTGCCCTTCTATAGCCTATTCTGTACACAGCTACCAGAGTAATCCTTTGAAAACCTGACGGATCATGTTATTCCTGTGTTTGGACTCCAGATGGCTTCCACCTTACTTGGAATAAAAGTGATCTGCAAGGCCTTCTGAACCCATCATTTTCTCATCTTCTCTTCCCTCATTTCCCTCCAGCCATACTGGCTGTCTTGCTATTCCTTAGAAAGTGTAGGGTCTCTCCTGTCTTAGGACCTTTGCACTTACATTTCTTTGCCTGGAACATGATTTTCTCAGATATCCAAAAGGTTCATTCCTCAGCTCCTTTAAGTCTATCCTCAAATGTTACCTTTTGAGGGAGCCTTCACTGACCCGTCTATGGAAAATTGAATAGCAGCATCCCTTCCAGATATTCCTTTGCTTTACTATCACAACATGCTGTGTATTTTTTCTATATATGTTATTTTATTTCATCCAATTAAATTTATTTATTTTTAAAAATTACTTTATTGTTGTTCAGTTACAGTTGTCTGCATTTTCTCCCCACCCCTCTCCCCACCCTAGCCAAACCCACCTCCCTCCCTTGCTTCCACCCTCCCCCTTGGTTTTGTCCTTGTGTCCTTTATAGTAGTTCCTGAAAACCCTTCTCCCCTCTGTCCCCTCCCCCCTCCCCTCTGGCTATTGTTAGCTTGTTCTTAATTTCAATTACTCTGTTTATATTTTGTTTGCTTTTTTCTTTTGTTGATTATGTTCCAGTTAAAGGATAGTTTACACAGTATTTGTCCCTCACCACCTGGCTTATTTCACTTAGCATAATGCTCTCCAGTTCCAACTGTGCTACTGCAAAGGGCATAAGCTCTTTCTTTCTCTCTGCTGCATAGAATTCCATTGTGTAAATGTACCATAGTTTTTTGATCCACTCATTTGCTAATGGACACTTAGGTTGCTTCCAGCACATGGCTATTATAAATTGTGCTGCTATGAATATTGGGGTGCACAGGTTCTTTTGGATTAGGTGTTACAGGGCTCTTAGGGTATAATTCCAGCAGTGAAATTGCTA